CCAAAGTGGGCATGCTGCTTGCTGGTCACTTACTGGAGATGTGTGGCTCAACAGTTATTAAGACACTGACTGAATGCGTTTCACTGGCAAAATAGGAGTCTCCACAATGTACAAAAGAGCATGGTTCATTATTGGTTCAGGAGATTGTCAGAAGGAGCTTGTTGCTCTGCTGCAGTTCTCAGCAGATGGAAGGTGTGGTTTGAAGCAGTAAGGTACCATTCCACACCTGTCATACTTCAAGCACTTTCTCATCATCTTGAGGTGCAAAACCAGATTGTGAGCTCCAGTCATACAACTCCTGGAACACAGCGCAAGGTCTGTCTTGCAGCTGCTTCATCCTGACCCCATCAGACACACTTTGAGTTGCTAACTTTCCCAGCTTTCCTTCAAAATCAAATGTTTGACAGCTCAAAGAGAAATCTGTCTAAAAGAAAAATCAAAGACAATAAATTCAAGGAACGGTGATAATTTAAATCAAAAGCCCCACTGTTGAACAGTGTGCAGATCTACCTTAAGGCCATTGCAGAATGATCCTCTGATGTAGTTAGTTTGATTATTGGAGATGAATCACAAGCTGCTCTGTAATGAACCTGGCAAGGTCGTCTTCACAACAATTCTGTATTCTGCAATGGCCTTAAGGTAATGAGCTGTGACAGAGCCGAGTCACCACATTACTAGGTGTTGGATGTGTTTGCAAATCATAAGTGCCTAAACGACTAGCTTTAGGAAGTGGGCCATCCTCTATAATAAGTGCTATCTGATCCACTACGATAAGAGTTTGGATGCCCATGTCCTAGACACATACCACCGTTTTGGGCGGCCTGTTAAAATGGAACCTTAAATTGAGAGATTCATCAACCCCCTCTAAATAGTCCAGGAAAGCAAAAACTTACAAAAGGATACAAGCAGAATAAATATTAGCTCACAACTGAATCTCAGGAGAAATGCAGAAATCCATACTCTTAGAGAGAGCCATAACAAATGCTTTTTTAATTGAATTCTGTTCTGATATTAATTAGCTCATTATATTAACATTTCATCCAGGTTCATATTATTGAAACATCATTAAGAGACCCCAGAGCCATGAACATATAATAATAAAAAGTAATCCTTACATGAACATAGCACTTTTCATATTGTCCAGCGCCTTGGGACGTCCTCCCGACGTGAAAGGCGCTCTATAAATGAAATCTTGTTGTTGTTGGAGAATGTCTCAAAGTGCTTCACAGGATTTACTGAAATGTGTAGAGAATGTGTATTTTGTAGGCAAAAAAAAGCATCAAACTAAGAGCGCAGATCCTTAATGCCCACCTTTAAACTTTTTTCAGAAAAATCATCAGTCTCTTTGTTGCAAAACCGATTTGCCACAATATCTGAACAAGCTTTCATTAAAAATTTCAAATTATAGGATTTAGAAATGCTAGTGCTATAAATGTTCGGAAGAGGTATAATTTATTTGAAACTTGGAAGAAGACTGAAATGGCTCCAGCTCAAATAGGTCTACACACACTACTGTATTTTATCAAATATAAAGAGAAAAAGCTGCAAATGTTTTAGATGACAAAAAATTATGCATCTGGATTTTCCCTTGATGGCTTGACAGTAAACTGTATATTTAACCACAAAACACCCAGAAGGTTTTAGTGACACAAATAATGAACGGTTCTGAAGTCATTTCTGTTTTCCAAATCTGCAATGAAATCTAGTTATATCATCCTGGTAACCACTTATCTTTTGATCAGAGCATATAGCCAAAACCATCCACCTTGTGAATTTTCACAATCTCTCAATAGACGCTTCCTCCCAATAATTGAATGGCTAAATGCTTGAAGGGGTACTGTGCATTAACTCATCTCTGGACTCTTGTGACCATCACCTCAGACTAGCCTCCAGCAAAGACCTAACGAACACCACTATGAAACAGTGCAACTCAACTGACTGAAATAGACACAGAATATTTCCCTATAGAAACAAGCCATTTGGTACTAGTGTTTTCCACCACATAACCTGCCTAATTTGATCCCACTTTCCTTCTCGCTCCCCACACCTTTAATATTCTGTTTCAAACATCTACCTAATTTTGCAAGCATTCACCTACAAACTACACTATCACTAATATTTATAATAAAATCCTGTGAAGTGCTTTCAAGGGTCCTCCCTATATGAAAGGTGCTATATCAAATGCAAGGATCATTATTTTAATTCATGTATAGACTGGCTGTAGATGTTGGCGTGGACTTGGCTGTTGCTGAGAGCCGTGTCAGAAGAAGAAAGGGATGAACGGGGTGCGTGCAGGGATATACAATCTCAGAGTCTTGGACGTCCTCTCAACATGAAATGCTCTTTACAAATGTAATTTTGTATTGTATTGTATCTCACAATTTCTTCCTCCAATCCCAGGCGACAACTGCTTGATTCGCTTTTTAAAGAATTTACGTATTTTGGCTTCAACATCTGTTTGTATCAGAGATCCCTACAATCTCTTACTGTGTATGAAGAGCCTTTGGAGAACTCTTTGTTGTTTTACCCTCTAGTCTAAATGTTGTTTTGACACCTCTTTCAGTGAAGTAGCCAATATTATTCTAACTCCTATGAAGGCATCCTATCCCGTTCTTTCTTGCTCATCTGATCTGGAACTACATAGTGGTTCAATGCTATTTGCCCTCGTCCTATGTCAATCTGATAATCTCACACAGACAGCATTTTAGTCAGTATGAAGTATCAATCTGAGCCAATGTTGCCTCATAATTCGCTATGGAAATTGGGAAACGTAAATCTGGTGAGACAGTGACCGTGGTTTTCCTGCCGTTCCAGTAGTCATTCCTTCTGATCCTTTGTCAAAAACATCTCCTGAAATGTATGTGAATTAATTTTCCTCACTACTTCTCCATCCTTAAGAGTTCTGTTGCTTTCTCTCCTAAAGAAATTGCTGACCTCTTTCGCTCACTTTCCTTCTCTGACTCTTATTCTGAAGATTACTGGCAAAGAACCTCTCTCCCTTGCTCCAATCAGCTATACAGCTAGGATAACTGACCAAACCTCACATTTTCTGTCAGATCCTCCACTCCCTAACCTCAAATGAGCCTATTGTTTCCATGTTATCCCTTATATTATCTTCCAAGACATCCAATTTTGAACTTGTTTTTCAATCTGCTGAGATGTGATTCAATAAGCACCCATCACCCTCCAGTCCCTTCCCCAAGTAACCATTATTATGTGCTAGCCTTCACTGTATTTCACTGTAGTTAAATCACATCCAAGTCTAACCTGATATCTACACACATGCATCTTCTAGCAGGGCTCCTTGAATAGCAATCTGAATACTATACTAAGTACTAAACTCCGTACTCTCATCACACCAGTCCAAGCTAGGCTCTACTGGCTCCCTAATGCCGAAAGGATCGATTTCAAGATCCTCACACTCGTTTTCAAATTCCTTTATGCCCTGGCACCTCCTTACCTCTCCAAGCTGCTTACCCCCCAACCCACAACTCGCTGCCTCCGCTCAACTGGCTCCGGCCATCCGTATATCTCTTGTGCTCTCCGTTCCACCATTGGTGGTCGCACTTTCAGCCACTATACCCCTAAACTCTAGAAAACTCTTCCTCTATCCCACTATCTTGCTCCTTCCTTCCCCATCTTCAGGTATTGCCTAAAGACCTTCCTATTCGATGGTGCCTACGATCACATCCCCCTCCCCTGGGCTTGGTGTCATGCTCCACCACTGTCATGCGTTCTGGGACTCTACCCTACGTGAGGGGCAGTATATAAATGCAAGTTGTTATTGTTGAACGGGAACCCTGCCTTATATTCCTCTTGGTAACCTAGGACACTGACCTTAATTGTAATTGAGCTAAATGCTGCTCCAGCTGCGATCAGGTACCTCTGCACAGATGTGGATAGGAAACCTGTAACATGTAGGTATGGGGCTTGGTAGTATTGCTAAGGAAGGAAAGAGGTTTTAATTAAAAAAAACTCAAGTGGGATAAGAGATTCGAAGAACTTTTTGCTGCTCACACTGTAGCAGAGCCGTGTAGAAGAGACACCCAAAAGAAAGGATTTGGTTGTGTAAGGCAGTTGGACATGGTGAGTGCAAATCAGCCATAACTATATAAGCACAACAATAAATACCACGACAAAGCACTGGTAAGTTACACAAGATTTGTCCAGCTAGGAACACTCCACCCAACAACTTGGCTCTCCAGGCCTCATTGATGAGCTAGACAGACTGATGAATCACCACGGTGTAGAATTACCAAGGGCTTTTGCCAGGTGTGTCTTCTTAGAGCCAGTTCCACCCCAAGGATTTCCCACTTACCTCGCTCCCTCAAACAGACGGTATTAATTAACAGGTTTGATCATCCTCTGTACCTTCAACATGGATGTTATTTTCAGCCATAATTGAACACTGTGTCGGCGAGAGTTAAGTAATACCTGTTACCCACAGCCAAGGTAATTTCTTCGGGATGTGTCACTCACTCCACCCACCTTATCAGTGCCTTCAAGATTCTTTGTAAAATGTAACCAGTAAACACAGCACAGCGCAATTCGGTTATTCATCACAGTAAAAGGCAGCCAGTCAACAAAACACTATTCAATGGCCAACAGTATAGTCTAGACACCTTATTGATTGTACTTCATAATTTTTTGTCAGCATCTGCACCACGGTACATGTGGCTGAATGGACCATTGTGAAGGAGGGAGGAAGGGAGTGAGAAGCGAGGGAGGGTAATTGGTGAGATTTCTAAATTGATTTGTGGACAGGGAATCCTGCCAGTACCTGGATTTATCTCAGGCCAGAACTATGTCACTCCACTCAAACACCAATCTCCTCCTGCCAGGTGCCAGAAGCTTCCTTTGGCTGAAGTTTGTAGAAGTTAGAAATTAGAAATTAGATAAATAAATGCATTCAGTACCTCCTGAAGGTTTCTGCTTATATCTGTTTTCTGCATCATAATAAAGCACTGTATCAAATGCAAGAACTGTCATCATCTTAGGTATAAAAATATTTTAAATGTTACAAACTGTGTACTGACAGCAATCTTGTTGGAAGATTTATGTGACAGAGCTGTGTAATGATATCACGTCAGCACTAGATCTAAAAGATCTTGGTGTTCGAGTCTTTGCAAATGCCACAAGTTCAATCATGGAAAGCTATTTATTAATTTTTGACCACACAACATGAAATTACGGATACATGGTGATTTCCAAGCGGACTGCTTGATAAGGAATTTGAGTGGGGACTCCTTCCATATCATGAAGCATATCACCCACATCATGCAGACAGATCATTTTTCTTCACCAATTTTCTCCTCTCTGCTTCCTCTCCAGAAAGCATTTAACTTGATTTTTCTTTCTATTGAAGCTGTGGTTCCTCGGGTGCCAGTCAATCGTCATGCATGCCAGTGAGTGTCATCTGGTGATCTTGAAGTGCTGCACTTATGCATCTCTTGTGGGGATCGCTTTACAGTGATCAGGAATGGAAATGCGAGCTGATTACACTCTCCAGGATACTGAGGCCAGTTGTAGCATTACTATTCTTGTCCCGGCCAGACCAACAGACCAGGATTCAGACCCAAGGCCTTTCTTGTTCATACATAGCTTCACTGAGGCATTGGACAAGCTTTACCAATGGATGGATCCAGAGAGAGAAACAAATAGGTGCATTGCTTTGAACATTCTCTCTGTCCCGTAAATAGCATTTAAATAACAATTTGTTATTGCTGTCACCACAGTAAACTGATCGATGTATCAATTATTTTAGGGAGATGTGTAACTTCTGTGAGAAAAAAAAGGGATAAAAATAACTTGGCCTCTATTTAAAAAATATAACAAGAGTCTGCTCATTTCAGTGGCTTTGCAATTTTCATAACATCTCACTGCTGGCAATGGCTGACCTCGGCAAATCTGACAGTAAACATAAACAACAAAACAGCAACAACAGCAGCACGACAACCATCTCCACCATCAGCTTCTGTTCTCACAATGGACGTCTGACATACACGCAGTTCCAGATTAAATATCATGCCGTGCCTGGGTGTACAGTTTCAAACAACACAACCACTTCCTCTCCTCAGCCACTGGCTTTAGATCTCATTGTACCCAATCCATTCTATGTCAATCAATTGCACACTCCAGTTCCGCGCACGACACTCAAGTTAAGCACTGCGCCTCATTAACCCTGAGATTAACTCTTCAAATTCACTTCTGTTTCATTCACCAAACTCAATCTCGCCATTATTTAACAGGTGGGGAGACAAATGTGGAGTCCTGTAGCTCAGTGGTTAGAGCACTCGCTTTGCAAGTGAGAGACCTGAGTTCAATTCCAGGCAGAGGGCGAAACCTTGGGCAAGTTTCCTTACTCCACACACCTAATAATAATCCCTCCAAAACCAAAACCAATAATAAATTGGTCATTTTCAATCCACGACTGTTTGTGGGACATTGCTGTGCGCAATTGGCTGCCGCGTTCGCCCACAAATATACAGTCAATTCATTTTACAGTGTGTTCTGTGAAGCGCTTTGGGACGTCCTTCCGACGTGAAAAGCGCTGTATCAAATGCAAGGATTATTATTATTATTATTAAATGTGGTATGTGATGCACTAATTGTGAGTCAGACCTTTATCCCATGAAAGAAACGCTACTCTCTGCAATTGGCAATGACCCTGGCAGTGGCTGGGAGCTTCAGGCCAAAGCACTAGGTTCAAATCCCAGATTCAAATCCCACTCCATTTGTTAACTGAAGGTTAGTTGGGATTGTGATAATTATCATGGTGATATGTATTGCTTCACATGCAGCATTTTTCACCCCAGTAATGCCAGCAAACACCTTAAATTAAAAAAAAATGAGCAGAGTTCTTTCCTTGCTGCATTCTCAATGTGAAGACTATGGAACCTTCATCACCTTGTTTGTTTGAGTGAACAAAAATGTTAAAAAAAAGTCAACAAGGCTGAGTACACAGATTTGTGAAGGATGAGAACTTCATCTGAATCACTCTTGTGATCTTATTCTAGTGGACTGTTTGCTATTTTGATTGACTCGATCTTACCTGCATGTGGTGCATATCCGGTTCTTTAATTCACATCCTGCTCCTTTATCTGATAGCCTTTGGAATCTGCAAAAGTGAGTTGGAAATGCATATCAGACTGGTTACTGCGAAAGCGATGGTGTCTAACACACAGTGATTTCTAAGTGGATTTCTTTAAGAGGAATCTGAGTGAGGATTTTTTCCGGGAACCAAAAAATACATTAAACACATTATGTTGAAGGACAGAACATCTGCTCTGAAACAAGATCATTTGACGATGTTTGGTCACAGGCACCCCAAGCTACTTATTCTTTTTGGTATTGCATCCCAAGCTACTTATTCTTCCTGTGTAAGCAGAGATACTGAGTGACCGTAGCCCAAATTTGGAGTCCAAATCTTACCCAATAGCCGCACACCTATACTTTCTTTGTAAAGCTGTGGGAAACTCTGATTGATTTCCCCCTAGCTCGGAAAGAGGCACCGTAACCAATTGCAGTATCTTCAATTTCTTGGCTGAGATGAAGTAATTCAGTACAGATTAGGGACTGAATTAGGGACCTCCATGGTTGTAATGGGCCAGTACCATATTTCATGTTGCATTTACCCTCTTAGACCCAGGGATCCCTTCCTCCGTGGATTTATTATGTCAAAAAATGTTTAAAGAATAATAATAATCCTTTCATTTGATAGAGCTATTTATCACATCAACAAAACATCACAAACACCTCAAGGAATTTCTGTCAAGTGTGCACCCTGTGTATTTTGTAGGCAAACATGACAGCCAAATTGGACACAGTAAACATCCCACAAACAGCCATTAAGTGAATTAAAATTTTTACCTGAAGGATTATTGGGCAGGATAGCGGGAGAAACTCCCTTCTCTAAATTAAGATGGAGAAATATGGAACTAAAATTTGTTATTCAGTTAGAAAGAAATTCAGTTGCAATGGTTTTACTTTGCACTGAAAATGCCACTTTTCAACCACAACAAAAACTTGCATTTATATAGCAAACTTCACGCGCAGTAGCGCCTTGGATGTGGATCATTAACAGGTTGGGAATGGATTTACTAAAACTAAATCTCAAGTCATGTTTTGCTTATGTCTGATGCTGGACATGTGAGTATTTAACATAAATATACGTATTTCTTCTGCTCTGAAAGTCTTTCTCTGGTGAACAAAGGAACTGAAACACAAAAAACATGGAAGCTATGAGTATTTTTAGGCCTAAAGTTCAACAGTGTCATATAGGATCCATCATTTCATAAACATTGTATGATTTTCAGATCATCAGATCTGAATAAGTTGTAGGAGCCATCTGAAACCTAGGAATATTACTTACTGAGCAAGGTCATATTCAAATGAAGTAGCAGGTATTTCAAACACAATACCAGCAATTGTCCAAACCCAATATTGGGGGTGGGGAGTGGGAGGGTTAAGTCACAAAATCCTACAATACAAAATTCACCACATTTCAAATTGTCTTTTAATGTGACCCAGGAGAATGCCTATCATCACCATAAGGGTAGCTACAGGCCAGTGCTACGTAAAAACTTGTTTTCTGCATAAATAAACATTTAGGTTTCTAAACATCGATAATAATACTTGTTCTGGATCACCTCAAAGTGTTTCGCACATTGAACTACTTGTTGCAGTGTAACAACTGTTGTTATATACACAAACACTTATTTACACTTAATCTGTGCCAACGACTTCCTACCAACAGTAAAGAGACGGTGTCAAATGGACACAGCACAAAGGTGGACAGGATGGAGCTGCAACTTGCAGACCAGGAGCTCGCTGGTTCGAATCCCGATCTGTGAACAGTTTCCTAGTGTCTTTTGAGGCTGGAATGGGAATGCTAAATTGTCTTTCTCAGGGTTAGAGAAGGGAAACCAGTCAGGGGTCCTGCTCGTGATCCCTCTATAGCACCCTCTATTAGTTGTGTGGGTGAGTAATGGACGAGTGGGGAGAAGTCATGCTTGGCCGTGATGGGGCGGGGAGGGCTATCGGAGGACAACCAGATATTGTGGAACCGCGTCCTAGCAGTTTACTGTGACCAATTTGGCTGAGGAGCCAGACCAGAGGCTGACAGGCGTATGTCAGCGGAGAGAAAATAGGAAAACTGATTGAATACACAATCTTTTTAAAAACAGAAAGTGTCAAATGAATCGGGTGGGTTTTGGTCAAGCACTCTGAGACGTTCTTTTATGTTGCATAATTCCAACTTTGTTGTTGATATGGGAGAGAGAAAACGACAACAACTTGCATTTCTATAGCGCCCTTCGCACGGGGTAGCACCCGGAGAGCCTGAAAAGTAACGATTGTTACCCTTGCTGCTTTATCGTGCCGTTAACAGTTACAAGAAATTGAAAGGAGCAGCAATTTTAGTTTCACATTTTAAAATAAAATAGGCTAGGTTGTAAAAGCAAGGGACATTTTTTAAAAATGGCTTATTTTCGAGCTGCCATGTTAAAACAACACCGCTATTAGACGATGTCTGGTTTTCCAGACATTATGCAAATATCCAAATCAATGGGAGTAACACAAGACCTTACAAGCTCCTCCTTAGAGACCTAGTTATCTGCGTGTTGAAAGTATGGCACTGATCCAAGATACATTCTTAGGTCAGATGANTTTTTTTGCTATGGTGATGGCCTTTGTGACATACACAAAAGAAGTGTTTGTTTCAGGGCTGCTTCACTATTTACATGAGCCTGAGAGCTAAAGCCACGGCTAATAACAAGTCAAACAGGAAAATAAGATACATAAAAACAAAACGGGAAGCAGCAGGAAACTTAGTTATGAAAACATCAACATCCATCAAACTTAATAAACTTTAAAACATTTTGTTACATAAACATAAGCAAAAAGATCTTTGCTACTTTTGAAACAACACTGTTATGTATCATATTACAATCCACAAAATTGATTTTCTTTCAACATCCAAACACCACATGATAGAATCAGAGAAGGATACACACACAACAAATCATGTTGCATTTTGAGCATTGTTTGATTGCATAAAATTACTAAGTGATAAGCAAAGAAAGTACCTCTCGGTACTACTCTCCTGGTGATAACAATCATGTATCGCACTGCCTGGTTCACCATTTTGAAGATTTGTTGGTTCAAGACTCACATCAGGACTTGAAGCTCAGTCTAGACTGATGCTCCAGGGCACAAGTGGAGGTAGTGCTGCATTGTCGGTGATGGTGGTGCTGTCTTTTGGATGAGATATTAAACCGAGGTCTCATCTGGCTGTTCAGGTGAATGTTAATGATCGATTGACACTGTTCTTAAAGAGAATGGAGTTTCCCCTAGTGTCCTTGACAACAATCCTCCAAATAAACTGGTCATTCATCACCTGGCTGTTTCTAGGACATTGCTATGCGTAAATTGACTGCAATACTTCCTTACAAATACACATACCCTCTACTTAACAAATTCTGATGTTTTGATGTAATAGGTGCTATATCAAATACAAAGATTATGATTATTTCTGCTTTTGCTCTAACTATAATTATCATGAAGAACAGTTTAAGTCCAATACTGTATTAAATACGCCACTGATCCGCAGTGATGCAGGGCTAAATGTTATAGTGCCAGAGCCCTGCAGAATCAGAGTTCTATTGGCGATCACTGGAAATTGTGGTTGAACTAAACTGTTCTTCATGATAATTATAGTGCATTGCCAATTTAGTGATTTTGTTGCTGGGTCTAAGCGATATTTTAGGTCTGTTGGAGATTTTTTAAGCCTTGCTGCGACAAGTCACAAAACTGCAACTTTTAATGAAATTAGTTGACTTTTCATAACCTTAATTATGTTTTTAAAAAAATCAGTTTAGGTTCGTTACTCAGCCCGGGCCCACCCCAGGCCCTGTCCATTGGACCAAGCCCCTGTCCATCAACCCATCCCGCACTCCCATTGGACCATCCACCTATCCAGCAATCTGCCCTTCGCTCTCCTTGACTTGTCTCTTTGTTTCTCTTTAGCCGTGTAATACATACGATCATGTCACGACGCTGTTATGGTCAGTGGCATCGTGATGCGAAATGCAGAAGACATCACTTATCGCTCCATAGACAATAACGTGAGCCAACTCACCAGAGCAACAAGTGACATCTTATGTATTTTGTGTCATGACGCTACTGCTCTTTACTGTGTCAAGATGCAAAACACACCTCACTCATCCACACAGACATTTATCTATGAAGTGCCGGAGCACAGCTCTGTACTGCTCCGGCAGCAATGCACCCCTACTTAGCAGTTCTTTTACACTGGCAATATCAATAACAGTGCTAATGGGGAAGACATCATCAAATAGCCTAACTTGTAGTAATTTTCTAAACTACAAATACTGTGTTAAGAGCATACCATGGGTAAGCGTTTTCTTGCCTCAGTGAAATATTCTTTTCCTTTCAGTTCTATGGTAGAGTCCTGAAGGTTAGAATACTCGTCCTGTAAGTGAGAGAACCTGGGGAAAACATTGGGCAAGTTTCCTTTCTCCACACATCTCTATTTACCTAGCAGAAAGTAGGAACCCAGTTATTAGTCGATTGGCAGATCGCTTTTCCTGGGGTAATAATACCTTAAACAAAATAATAATAATAATTTGCTCACTCAATCTACAACTGTTTGAGGGACACTGCTGTGCTCAATTGGCTGCCGAGTTTCACCCACAAAATATACAGTCAATTCACTTTACAGTATATTCTGTAAAGCTGTTCGAGATGTCTTGAATAAGTGATAAAGCGCTATATTAAATGCAAGGATTATTATTATTTATTATTATTACAACCCTTGTGATCACCAGTTTTGTAAAACATTTCCCTAGTCATATGCTGATTATATTATAAAGGCTCTATTACTGTCTGTGAAAAGAAATACTTCCTAGTGTTTGCCCAAAAATAGACATAAACAAACCTGAACATGTGTCCTCTCAGCCTCCTAACTTTAAATACCGGAAAGTACTGTGTGTGTTTACTTTCTCTAGGTTATAAACTCTATAAGGTCTTCTCTGAAGCATCTCTTTTGAAGGCTGAAGGGTCCTAGCTTATGTAGTCATACTATCTCACAACGCCTGG